CCGCGGAGCCGCTGGGCCCGTGAGCCATGGCTGCTGGGCCTGCGCGTCCGGAGCCTGTGCTCCGCAACGGGAGAGGCCACAACAGTGAGAGGCCCACGTACCACAAAAAAAAAAAAATCTGATAACAATTCATTCATTGGTATATAGGCTAGGCTACGAAAAAGCAACTGTATGGATTGCATGAGGTGACTGTAAATCAATCACACTGCTGCTTCTTTGTTATCGATGCATGAATTGTTACAACTGTAAATAATGAGTTTACTTTTCACATTATCTTTTCATTATTATCTAGTGTTAGTAATACATATAACATCTATGGTATTTGTATCGTATAAGACACTATTGATGTAGGTACTGACACGTGATTCATCTTATAAACAGATGATGTAAACTTAATGTATCAATAAATACAGTACAGTACCATAAATGTATTTTCTCTTCCTTATGATTTTCTTAATAACATTTTCTCTTCTTTAGCTTATTTTACTGTAAGAATATAGTATATAATACACATAACACAGAGAATATGTGCTAATTGACTTTTCATGTTATCGGTGAGGCTTCTGGTCAACAGTGGGCTATCAGTGGTTAAGTCTGGGCGGAGTCAAAAGTTACACATGGATTTTCAATTGTGTGTGTGTTGGGGGGTCAGCACCTTTAAGCTCCACACTATTCAAGGGCCAACTGTAGTTTGATAATTCCTTTTAAAGGCTGATCTCCTGAGACTGTTGATAAATTAAATCATTCCTTTAGTTCTGACTGTCTGAGCCAGGTATGTTCAAGGCTATTATGGGCTGAGTGCTGTGTCCCTTTCAAATTCATATGTTGAAGCCCCAACCCCCACAGTGATAGAATTGGGAGATGCAGCATCAGAGAGGTGATTATGCTTAGCTGAGGCAATGAGGGTGGAGCCCCATAATGGGATTAGTGCCCTTATAAGAAGAGGAAGAGAGACCAGGGCTCTCTCTGCTGCACACATGGGGAGGTCATCTGAGCACACACAAGAAGACCAGAACATGGCCTCCATAAGCCAGGAAGGGGGCCCTTAACAATAACGGAATCTGAGGGCCCCTTATTTTGGACTTTTCAGCCTCCAGAGCTGAGAAATAAAGGTTTGTTGTTTAAGCCATCCAGATTGTGGGCTTTTGTTTTTCTTTTTGTCACAGCAGCTCAAGCTGACTAAGACAAAGGCAAAACAAAAATTTAAGATCTGGATTGTAGCCAGTGTCAAAACTAAATGAATGCACCAGGCTCTGGCAGCTGTGGAGCCCCACAAGGGCTCACTCCTAGAGGTTTTGGGTGTGCATTGCTAAGGGGAAAGAGAAGAAGATCAGGGCAAAGGTGAGCAGGACAGACCTTCTGATCTTGTCTAGATGCCTGGAGACCAAGGAAGAGTCCAGTGCAGGTTCCAGAGGGGAACTAGCTAGGCCTTCTCTACTGTGGGAAGGTCCCCTCCAAAAGAAGTTTCTAAAAACACTCAGCCTCTTAGCTTAGCCCATCATACACAGCCTTACGAAGCCTGCCTTAGCCAAACCCACTTCCCTTGCTTCCATTTTAATACTACAAAAGAAGAAACTTTGTCCCAAAGGCCATATTTTTGAATTATACCCTGACTGGTTATCAATATATTTAAAAAAAAGAAGGATATTCAGTAAGTAGGACATTTTCCCTCTGCAAGAAAAACTACTTTTTAACTCTTTTTTTTTGTTTTATACATAAAAACAGCACATGTACATTGGGGAAAATTTAGAATATGACAGATGACAGAAAGAAAAAATTCAAGTCACTAGCTGGGGAGATACTACTTAATATATTTATTTCACCATATAGTTTAATTATATATGTATTTATATATAATTAATACATATTAATATTATAGGTGTTTATATATAATTAATTCATATTAATATATATTGATACACAATAATACATATTAATATTATTGATACATATTAATGTATAATTAATACATATTTGTACATATATTTAATTTAAAATTGAATTTAACATACTGCTTTACGATTTTTTACCAGTTTTACCCACTTAAGAAAATAAGCTGAGATAACATCACGAAATGATCTTTCATAACGTTATTCTTAACGGTTGCAAAATGAATTTTTGTATTGAGGTAGCATAGATGAACTCATCCTCTATTGTAAGAAATGTAACACTGCTCCTGGTGTTTCATTATTATAAATACACTGCCGTGAATAACCTTGTAGCTAACTGTTTGCTACCACTATTCATTATTTCCTTAGGATGAACTCCTAACAGTAGATTGCTAAAATTAGACTTATTTAAATATTTAACACTTTTAAAATGTATTGCCCAAGTGCACTCTAAAAGGATTTTAACAATTTACATGTGTGCTAACACAGCTTTTACTACCCCTTAATTTCCATTCAAGAGACATTTAAATACCAGAAATTGTTGCAGGTACGAGGGCACAAAGATAAAACAAGCACAGTGGAGAAAGGACAGCCTCTTCAATAAGTGGTGCTGGGAAAACTGGACAGGTACACGTAAAAGTATGAGATTAGAACACTCCCTAACACCATACACAAAAATAAGCTCAAGGGCTTCCGTGGTGGCGCAGTGGTTGGGAGTCCGCCTGCCGATGCAGGGGACGCGATTTCGTGCCCTGGCCTGGGAGGATCCCACGTGCCACGCAGCGGCTGGGCCCGTGGGCCATGGCCGCTGAGCCTGCACGTCTGGAGCCTGTGCTCCGCAGCGGGAGAGGCCACAGTGGTGGGAGGCCCGCGTACCAAGAAAAAAAAAAAAAAAAAAAAAGAAACTCAAAATGGATTAAAGACCTAAATGTAAGGCCAGAAACTATCAAACTCTTAGAGGAAAACTTAGGCAGAACACTCTAGGACATAAATCACAGCAAGATCCTTTTTGACCCACCTCTTAGAGAAATGGAAATAAAAACAAAAATAAACAAATGGGACCTAA